GCTCCTGGTACAGTACCTCATCTTGTCTTTTTACGCATGTGGCGGGAAACTAGCAAAATTTCTTATATATAAATTTCTTAAATATATATATATATATATATATATATATATATATATATATATATATATATATATACAATAGTGCCCAGCACCAGCTAGGCCGCACAGAGGGCAGCCGGGCGCCGCTGCGCAGATTTGGGCTGGATGGGGCGGGCACGCTGGGGTATGCTGGGGTTCGCCGGGTAACACCGCCCTCTGGTCCCCTCAGAGAGGAACGCCCGGTTACCAGCGCCGCTGGTCCGCTGCGGCCGGACGCGGGACACGGCCGGCCACTGTGGTGTCGGCGGCCCACGTCAAGGACGAGGCAGCCACGCGGCGCCGACCAGAACTCGACCCGGTCCGCGCTCGGGCGTGATCTCCACGGTCTCTGTCGGCCGGCTCGGAGGCGGTGAAGTTCAAAGCCCGCCGGGGGCGGCCACGTTGTCGCGAATCTCTGTAAAAATAGACTTGGCCGCACGGCGTTCTTCTCAGGCGACGTGGACGCACTGTTCCCGCCCGGAAAGTTCCTACACCGTGCTCCACACTGATGCACGCGAATATGGGGCGCATTTTTCCCGGTAAGTTGCTGCGCTGCTCCCCATCCATGCATGCGAAGTTCAAAGTACCCAGACTTTACACGAGATATCTTGCCAGGCAGCTGTTTGACGTCAACTTCGCAGCGCACCGACATAAACAGAGCGTTCATAAACACTTTTCTCCGCAGTCACCTCATTAGGGCGGTCGAACCTGCCGCGCTGGTGCCGGAGCGTCAGCTGATATCTGCTGTCCGGCTCCAGCCGCCCGTGCGGTGCGCCGCGCCGGCGAGCCGGCCGCGCCCAGAGCCGCCGTCGACGGAGCCGACACTTGGCACGTGGCGTCCACCGGATCCGGCGGCTGCGAGGCGACGCGGCCGCCAGCAGCGGCGCCCGCCGCGGACGGCCGGCCCGGGGCCAGCGCTGGCGCTCCAGCTCGAGCCGAGGCCGGTCGCCGGCCGCGGGGCGGGCCGTCCGGCCGGCGGCTGCAGCCGGTCTGCCGCCCGAGCGGCCGGCCCCGCGCCGTCACAGCGCGCGCCGAGGCGGCACCGGTCCCCACGCGTGTAGTGTCGCGCGGGAAACCGGCAACCGCGGGCGGCGAGCGCCAGGCCGCCGAGTGGCCGTCTCGGCCGCCGGCGCCAGCAGACGGGCGCCAATCGTTACTGGCGACGACACGCTTGAGGCCGTATTTGCGGGTCGTCCAGCCGCAAACACGGCCGGGCATTGATCAGTGTGGGCCGTCGGCCGCGGCCGACTGTCGGCGTGTTTGCTGGAGAGGCGACCGAGGCGCCGCCGCGCACACGGACACGGCCGGCCGCGTGATCCGCCCTCCGCCCGTCGGCACACGCCTGTCCACGAGCCCGCCTGTCCGCCGGGCACCTCCAGGCACGCGATCTGACGGGCTCCTCCCGGGAGGTGATACGTGCACCGGCGCGCCTCCGACCACAGGGACACACTCCTGCCACCTCCCGGCACATCGCTTCACCGTCAGCCTCGCGTGCCTCCAGCCTCCTGTCCGCCAGGCCGTCGGTGGCACCGCGCACGCCGCGTGGCCGTGTCCCGGTGGCGCCAGGTCGCCGCCGCACCGGCACATCATGGTCACGTGCCGGGCGCCCGGCGCCAGCCAGCCGCCCGGCGCGTGATCGGCCCGCCTGTCGTCCGCGGCGCCGGCCGCGCTGGAGTAGCGGCGCCGCACGCCGCGTGACGCCCCCGGGTCAGCCGGTCGGGCGCGGCCGGCGCACGGCCGCCGCTGCCCGTCGGCCCGCTTGCAGCCCGGCCAAGTGTCAGACGACGACGCTAGCGCTCGAGATGAGGCGGGCGGCGGAACTGTCTGCGGCGACGCGGTCCAAAAATGGTCGTGCATGCGGAGTCGAGCGGTGCATGGCCGCCGGCCACTGCCCATTTGTCAATTCCTGCAACAAGCCTTATCGGTGGTGCAAGCGAGTCCGTCCACACGCTAAAAAAACATGCCTTGTCACGGAAGCCACTTCCAGCAGCGGGATAAAGCAAATGAGGCGCGCTTACCGTCCGCCTCCAGCCGCCGACCACTTTTCTAGCAGCGGACTGCAGCGAACGAGACGCGTTTACTGTCAGGCTCTCGGTCCCCAAACCACTCTTCTAGCAGCGAGCTGAGACGAATAAGACGCGTTTACTGTCAGGCTGTCGTCCCCTCGGGGCCCGCAGCTACGTGCCATGAACCTGGAGCGGCTGCTAACTGGATTTGCTCGGGCCGCCGCAGAGGGGCCCGGCCCAGGTCCGACTCCTCGTGTCAGCGGGGTCAGCGTCTCTCCCAGCGGAGAGCCGCTGACGCCAGGGAGGCGGCGCTCGGCGCCCCTGAGGCGTGTCCTACATCGGCCGGCCGCGGCGAAGGCCCGGCTCGGCGGCCGTGACCGGTCGGACGGCTCCCGGGCCGGCCGAGACGGGCGCTGCGTTTGCGTCTGCGCCGCGTCAGCGGTCCTGGTGCACAGAGACACAGCCGGACAGCGCGGCGGCGACCGGTGCCGCAGCGGCGAGCACAGCCGCCTGCCGCGTCCACCGAAAGAGGCGGTGGGGAAACCTGTAGCTCCAGGGCCTGCCACGCTTGGCGAGAGCGGGGCCAAGCAGCACTTTGGCTGTGGAAATCCACTGGCATCGGAGATTTCTGCGACCCAGATGATGCCTTATCTACTGGCGTTGCCTTTATCGGAAGTGTCGGAACACATCACGCAGAAATCCCATCACCAGATTTCGTGGCGCGTTCTTGCCAGCCTGATCATGGGAAGATCAGTGCTTGGGTGGCGTGGCGATCAAGCCGCCGCATACTTCCTCCGCGGCGCCCCATCCCTCCGGCCATGCCTAACGCCTCAAGGTCGGCACGCGCCGCGGACACGCAGCCGGGTCGTCAATAAGCTGCACTCGGATCATCCGAGTCGCCAATAAGCTGCACCCCTATCACGACACATCCGGGGATCAGTACACCCGGCTGCGGCGCGGACGAACTCCACTATTGATCTCAGAGTCATACGAACAGGACTGGTGTATCGCTGGGATGACGCGCCCGTTAGCAGCCTCCATTTTAACTCGCGTTCACTTCAGTTCAGTCGACACAAGTCAACACCAGCTAGGGAGCACAAAAAGCCAAAGGTAGGTGCGCAAAGCCAAGTCGGAAAGCTCGTTTCAAGGCTAGGCGGAGGACGCCTGCGAACTTTGCTCGGCAGCGCCCTAAAGCAAGGCAGAGACGCGCCCTAAAGCAAGACAGCGACGCGCCCTAGAGCAAGGCAGAGACGCCCTCTAAAGCAAGGCAGAAACGCGCCCTAAAGCAGAGCCGAGACGCGCTCTATAGCAAGGCAGAGATGCGCTCTAAAACAAGGCGGAGACGTGCTCTAGAGCAAGGCAGAGATATGCCCTAAAGCAAGGCAGAGAGTCGCTCTAAATCCACGAAATGCCGAAGCTCGAGTAGAACAAAGCTCTTTGCTTTGAACGAACATCCACAACATCCGTCGGGACCCGTCATATGACATTTGCAATTATCGGTGTATTTCACTCTTTTTCACGTAGCAATAGTCAACAACTGAGTAATCTAGCTTCCTCTTGGTAGAGCCGTAAACAGCGCACTTCTGATTTCTGAAGGGAAGTATGATTTGGCGCGCAAATCGAAAAGCCGTGGTGATAAAACTGCGCTAGTGATAATTCAGCAAAATTTAAATAAATTTGTCGGAAACTGCCACAAAAACAAACCAGAAAACCGTAACACACAACTGCTCCGAGTCTACCAGCTTGCCGAATGAAAGCAAGATGAGCGTAATAGCACGCGGATCCGAGGCACATTAATTATTCCCGGAGAACGCTAACTTACGATGATGGGAAACGCTAACTTCCCAAATAACCATTCAAATGGTTATAAACGCCCGCCAAAATTTATTGTTTTGTGCATAAATACAGGGACTCCCCATGGACTGGATAGATCCGAGGATCATATATCAATCCCTGCAGTTGACTACGCTGTATCGCGGCATTTTGCACTGCAAAAACACGCGTCTTGGGAATGAAATGCATGACGTCGCTGGCCTGCCAAACGATTTGAAACGGACCAGACGCTGTCAAGAGTGACGCCTTAAGAACAAGCACTTCACTGCTCATGTACGTTGCATGTTCCATGTAAGGCTCAAAAGAGCTAAAATATGACGGGTTGGTGTAGATTATCATGAACATATTTATGTTTCCTCGGATTAAATGAGGCCTGAAGATTTGTGAAAACGGTGATAGATGAGAGGATTGGATTTTAATTTGTTGCATGGGATTGGACTCCTATCATGCTTGTCACCATACGTAAACATTTCAATTATGAAAATCCGCTAGTAGATGTGACTTTTACCATTTCAAAGCGTCTGTCTTACACATGATAGCCAACGTTCAAGGGACGTCATGTGACGCCTGCGCGCAAGGACGATGCTATACTGGGCTTCTTTCTCTTCACATTCACACTTTTGCGGTGATGATTGCATTACCACGTCGAATAACCGAATTTGGACATTGTTTTACTCATTGTTAGTTGATGAAAGCTATAATTTATCATTTCGAAAACAAACATGTTAAACTGCGGCCAGTCTTCCCACTATCTCCGCGACGTCCATAACATCATGCCAAGAAGGTGTTTTGATGGTAGAAACAACGGACTCGACATTGAATTTCCCCGCATCATTCCACATTTGACGAACACACATTACAGCCCTGCGTGCCAGCGACTGCCCGCCATTATTTTCACTACGGCCACGTCATTGAACGCGGGATCCGAAGAGCAGACACCACCAGCCATCAGCGGCGCGGCCTATCTGCCGGCCGGGCGCCTGGCGCGCGGGTGGCGCTCGCGCCGGGCCGGCGGACGGGACGCGGGGCGCGCCGCCCGACCCCGGCGCGGTAAACAGAGGCCGGCGGCCGTCACGTATTTACCCGTCAGCTGTGGAGCTTTGCCGGCCGCGGCGGCCGGAGCCGGAGCCGCCTCCATCACACTGCACCCGCTCGCGCCGCGGCCGTCTCACGGGCGTCACAGCGGCGAGCGCGCGCCATGCGGGCGGCGCCACACGCGCGCGCACGCCGCAGCGCCGGCTCCGCTCCGTTCCCAGCGGCGGCTCGCGCTCTTTCTCTCCTTCTCTCGCCCGTTGGCTCGCGTGCCCGCTCGGTGGCGGCGCCGTGCGTTCGGTGTGCGCTCGCGCCGGCCACTGCCACAGGTAGTCGGGCCGGCGCGGCGGCGCGGCGGCGCGGGGCGCGGCGGCCGCCGGCGCCGACGGACCGGCCGCTGCGCACAACGGCTCCGCGCGCGCAGCCGCCGTCGACGCCGACAGGGCCGGCGGCGGTGGACGCTCCCCGTCCCCGCCCCGGTGCCGCTCCGTCTCTCTGTCGGGCTCATCCGGCACCACCAGTCCGCCTGGTACGTCTCTGCCGCTCTCGCTCTCCCTCCTTACCTAGCCGCCGGCCGTTCATTTCTCTCGCCCTCTCTCCGCCCATATGCGTCGCACTGTTGTGCCCCAGGCAGTCGGCCGGTGCGTCTCCATTACTCGCTGTCCACAGACAGGAGACTATCGACTCAGCTGGAGACTCCGAGAACGCCTCGCGGAAGCGCCCACGATCCACGTGCTTGTAAGCCGCCTCCCCAGCTGGTCGCGTCGGACTGCCCCAAGGAGTTCTCAGCCGGCCATCGTCCGAGAACACCGCCCGCTATGTCTGAGCACTGTCCGGGGAACCAGCGGCTGGCGATCCAGCATTGATCCGAGTACACCTGCAGTCAGTTTCAAAAACTACACCCGCGTAGCAGGCGTGCCAATTTCGTTCAGCATTTGATTTGTTGCGTGGACTGAACGTTTTTCATGGAAACACGAATGATTCCCCGAAACGGGTCGATCAAGGCGGTAGAGGACCAATGAAGCGGCACTTTTCTCCTAGAAGTGAGTCCATCCGCGCGAAGCAGTGCAACCAAACGCGCCGTGATGACATCGTGTACTGAATCATCGTGTACTTTCTGAAGATACCGCAAGACATCACATCGTGTACTTTCTGAAAAATCAGCAGATGCGCTGATTTCTTACTGACCGTCTCTAAGACGCTTACACTAATCATTACTTCATAGAATCCAGCGCGTGGACATATCTTGTACCATTGTACTACTAAGATGTGTTGCTGCGACACGACCGTTGCGGGTGTCCTCCCAGAAGACGTCACTTTTTTCAGGTATTAAAAACAACAGGTTCCAATCATACGCTTCTGTCGAAAACAGGATACACGTTATTCCCAGGATGTTGTTTCGCAAAATCATGCTGTTTACACCGTAAGACCGCTTAAGCACTAACGTGTCATGACAGTTTTAAGCAAATCGCGTAGCTGAAGCCTTTTTGGGAAACCTGAAAAGTGAGTGAAGTCTTCTTGAAGAGTAACACACAACCTTGATGAAGTACGCAGTTACTTTCTTCGGCAGCATGTATGTAGAACTGACGCTCTTCCGACGGCTATAATTACCAGGACAACGGATTTCATGAGCCGTGGCGTAGCTCTATAAGTGATCTAGATTATTTGCCGCTGGAATAAGACTACATTCCATTTGAGGAAGGAGCCCTACGTTACGTCTAAGGGTGTTAGTAAAAAGGAAGAGGCAGTGAAAAAAGTTTTTATTTGCGCAGAATATCTCGTTAAGAAGGCTTGAAGTTGACATTTTGCGTGATGAAAGCAGTCCAATTTCACTGGTTGGCTACGGGTCGCCCACTCCTCCTCGTGTTCCCTGCTGCGTGGTGAACAGTGCTGTAGCTCCAGACAAAGCATGAAGCTACCGTTGAGTGGTCTGGTTGGTGAGTCAGAACGTACCAAGAAATGTTCCACGTGTTTCGTGGCGTAGAAAATAACAAAACAACAAGCAGAAACGCGAATGGCAACGCCGTGATATGTGTATTTACACATATCGCATCTCTGTCACCGCCGTCCAAGCCAGGCAGCATGGAGTTGAGCGCGGCAGCGGGGTTTGTTTGTTCTGCTTTGAGCTCTGGTGCTCACCATTCACATGACGGTGGAGACCAAATATTTGTTATCCGGAAAAGAGACCACTCAGTACCAGCGCGTGTTTTAACCCAGACAAAGTAGTGTGGAGTACAGTGAGCCAAACAGGGAAAATTCTACACAGGAGTCTGACTTGTGCTCCCCAAAGTGTGGACGTGACGTAGTCAGAAGTCAACTGAAGTTGGGAGGAGCCGTGGAGTGTGGGTGAAATACTTTTTTAAAATTTCCTTTCGCGTCGGAGTCCGAGTTGAGTCGATCAAGTCGTCCGTGAATCAACCCAGATAGAAAAGTCTGGGACATGACATGTTCAGGGTCTCATGGCCTCCACGTGCAACACATGGAGACAGTTGTTATAACTGAATCACTGGCGAACCAAATGCCCCGTTTGGGCTTTTATGAAGGTCATATATCTTGATGTGTTAACTCACAAACTGTCATCACCGGAACCAGTTCAATCGACGATCGATTCTGGAAATGAATCAGATTCCATGAGTCGGAGTCGGAGTCGCCTTCAGGCGGCGCTGAACTGTTCAGAATCAGAGTACAAATCAACCTTATGCAATGAGGGTAAGAATCAGAATCAACCACAAACATCATGGTTCAGAATCCGAATCAATCCCAAACGCTATGGTTCAGAATCGGAACAAACGTCATGCATTGAGGGTCAGAGCTGGATAAACTCCATACCTTGTGGGACAGAGAACGAATCGATTCCGCTGGAGCGGAATCAAGCAAAATAATGATTTCGAATATAATAATACATACTGGCAACATCTAATAATGCGTAACTTACAATTCGCGGGGACTCACAACAACGAAACACCGAGCGTCACGCAGGA